TTTTTAACCATCGTTAGTGGACTTCAAGGGCAGCAGTACTCGAATCTAAATTCTACAGAAACAAAAGTTCGGCTGAAATCAATGGGGAAACTTACAAAGAAAAAAAATTGTGGGTCTGACTTTAAGCGAGTCTGCATTGCTTTATATTACTTCCCAGATGTTTACGTTCCTCATCCTTTGCAGCCAAAGATCTCACAAATATCTCTTTCTCTCTGCCCATCAAACAGAAACTATGTAGCTGGAAGTAAAAAGATAATGCTAGTGCGATCCAGGACTTTTCTTTTAAGAGAAGCTAAGTATTATAATGTGCGGATTTATTATGTTTTTAAAAAGGGAACTGCCTGAGGAAGGGAAATGACTATTTCCCAGGAAAGAAAATTGCCTGAAGCACATCTAGTGAACTATAACTATCCTCCCTTTTACAAGGTATTTTTAATGTACTGAATATTTTTAAAAGGGAAAAGCTAATACACTGATCTAGTATTTGCTATTTTATGTCTGAAAGTGTATAATCTATCAAAAACAAGCAGGAAATCATTGTACAACATGAAGATGAAAGAGAGACAACTTGAAAAACAAAAAGGTAACAGAATCCAAAAATGTGCAAATAAATTAACATTTGATTTACAGGCCACTTTATCCCATGGGCTCACAGTAGGATTAATACACTTTACGTTTAGTTTTTATACATATTAGCAGTTATGTTTACTTATTAGAAATATTTCTATTCTGCCTGTAAATAGGTGTGTAAGATGCTTAGAGTAAAAGAAGAAGAAAAAGGAAAAACAGTGAAACAAAAAGAAAAGCAGCAGCAGTGATTGAAGGAAAGTCCTGTGCTCTCATTTCTGCTCTTCAGAAGTTCCAAAGGCACCACGCAGTACATTCAAAATCTACTACATGTACTGTGGACCAGTATTTTGTAGCGCTCCAAACGTGATACCTCCTGCATTGTTGATTGCATACTATAACTTGGATCAACTATATTGGTCTGTAGAGAGAACTCCTCCTGTATGCAGAATGAGGAGATGACTGGATCCCTCCCCTCACACAACATCAAAAGCCACTGCCGGCCACTGAACAATTCTGAAATGCAGATTTTCTGCAGAGGAACAGAGAGCTGATGGGGGGAGTAGAGAGGGAGAAAGTTCTGTTGTACCAGTGAAGTTTTGTTAACACTGCACTCAAAGAACCCCTATTTCTTTATTATAAGCATGATACAGATCAGTTCATGTACCTAGTAATTTATGTACAGAATCATTTTGTGGATTACCTAGAATGTTTCAGAACCTACCATGTTTTCCCGAAAATAGGACACTCTTATATTAATTTCTGCTCCAAAAGTGCATTAGGGCTTATTTACAGGAGATGTTTTATTTTTTTCATGTACAACAATCTACATTTATTCAAATACAATCATTCCATCTTCTTCTGGTTGCAGCACAATGGTGGAGGGCGGGGTTTCACTTAACTGGGGCTTATTTTTGGGGTCAGGCTTATATTACAAGCATCCTGAAAAATCATACTAGGGCTTATTTTCAGGTTAGATCTTATTTTCAGGGAAACAGGGTATCTTCCACTGTAGAAGGGCTATAAAAAAGAAAAGGTGCTGTGAGTAGTCAGGTATCATACTCCATGGACATCAGACTCCATCAAATAAGAAAAGTATGACAATATAATCAACAGTTTTATATATATCATATATACCTATATTAATGATATATTGCCACATTTTGGGTCTGCAATCCAGCATGCATGGAAACAGTCATATATACAAGAGACATACTGATCCACTTGAGTAAAAAACTGAGGGCAATGCCTTTATTCAAGCCAAATAGGGATATGAAGAAATCTCATGTTTTATTTATGGTTGAGAGATCCTGTGAGGATACTCAATTCCCTGCGAAAGACTTAGCTTTCCACATGTGATTGAGACATCAAGCAGTTTTTTCCCTAATCATGGTTTACCCAATTTGCACATCATGCCTCTGAGGTCTTTTCCCTTCTGAAGCTAAGCAAGCATATACACAGAGCCAGAACAAGAGAAGAAACTGATTGCTGAAAAAATACAAATCACTCAGTGCTTCTAGTTAGTGAAAGTCCATGATAGCATGACAGTCATCATCATAGTCTTAAGTCATTACAACTGCCCCAAAATGTGTCTTGCTGGGACAGACAAGCAAATGCTTGCCCTTTTGCTGTGAAGCGTAGAAAAACTGTCTTTTCTTGCTGAGTGCATGAGGATTAACCACATCTACAGGACCAACTAAAATACCACAACTGTGAACAACTTTTCAGGATCTTCAGAACGTTTATTCGAGCTGGATATGAGGGTAAAGTATGACTGCATTGGCATGCAGAGAAATGAGAATCGTGTCCATGGTATATTAGGATTACTGTGTGGTTTTATCAATGGCATACCAATTTCAGCATATTTTAAGAGCTATGTTGACCTCAGAAAGATCTCAAATAGCAATGTGGGAGAGAAGGCCCTTCTAGATCATGGAGATTATTGCCAAGAATATCTTTTTTGGCCTTCTCACTCTTGCCACGTCAACATCCTGTGGTAAAATTAGCTGGGTAGGATGGGAGATTCCAACCATATGCTCCTTTTCTCTGGCACCTCACCATGACATCAATGAGAAAGTGCAACAAGAGCAGAAAGCCAATACACGATTGGCCTGATACATCCACAAAGCATAGTCTTCATACAAGGTCAACACACTTGGCCAAGCAAAACATGACAAATTGGGCTAGTCTGTTCTAGCAGACTTCTATGCTCCCTCCCTCTTTTTGGAGACAAATTCTTAGGATTCCAAAAGGGGCTAGGATAAGTTTCTGTGGAATGCAGCGAGACAATCTTGCCAGTACAGAAAGATAAAGAAGTAGTTGTTACTGCAAAAGCTTACCACTTCTAATAGTTTTGTAGCTGGGATCACAGTCACTTACCTTGGGAAACTTCCTTACCCTACGTTAAGCTATTTATCAATCTAGCAGGTAGGTAGACTAGCCCAATATTGGTCTACTCTAATTTGCAGCAACTTTTAGGAAAAACCCTACAAATCTCTCTATCATTTGTTCTGTGGTGGTACCAGAAATGGAATGAAGAATCTTCTGTATGTAATGCACGTGCTTCTCCACAGATCTACAGCCCCTCTCCCTGCCTTGCTAGGATGGTATCAATTCAGGCAGAATAACTATAAACATATAGTGTCAGAGCTCTATGCAGATTTAAAAAATCGACTTTTGGCAAGGGAATGCAATGTGGCAGAATAGCTTGTTTCCGATCTTGCATTTGACACATGATGTAAAAACTGGTATAAGGTGGAGTATACTATATATGCTGAAACTCATATGGAAAAACCTCCAGCTCTATTAAAAACAATTGGGTATGTATTTGAATTTGAGCAGTACCTTGAGCAAATTCTCAGTGACTAAAAGAAATGGTGCTTCTAACATTTTGTTCTAGCCCCATCTCTTTTCCCTAGAAACCAAAATGCCTTCGTACATGCAATTTACCAAGCTGCATTTTCTGTATGCATGCACTGTGACATCACACATGGAATTTCATGTGTGAAATGCACTTAATAATTTCCAGCAATATGCTGAATGTAATGCACCAATGAAAACAAATGCCAGCCATATATATTCAAATATGATGTTTGCTGTTCATGTGAATGTATGCAAGTTTAAGGTGGTGAGGGAAGCAGAGTGCATACGCATGTTCTGCCCTCAACGTTCTCTTCCACACCAACTCCATTTCTGATTTTCATGCATCCAGTGTGAAGGCTTGAAAAAAGGATTCAATGCACTCAATCTCCTTCCTGCAACTAGAAATCTGGCCTGGTCAAGGAGGGTGTGCTTCACATTATTCAGACCCTCCCACTAGTTGTGGAGCTGATGTGAGGACATCTACCAGGCCTAACCATCCAACCCACAAACACCTCCTTCCCACAGCCCACACCTCAGAGAGAAGAGAGGGGGCTGACTGAACATTGCTCATAGTTCTGTCACAATGCTTCCCTCTTGCTTTGGCTTACAGGAAAAATTGATAGGAGAGTGAAGTCAGTTCCTAGCTGAGCCTACATCCAAGAACAACTATATGCTCTCAAGTCAATTCTGACTGACAGAGATGCTCCTCCCTGGGTTTTCTAGATATAGAGCAGGGGTCCCCAACCTTGGGCCTCCAGATGTTCCTGGACTACAACTCCCAGAAGTCTTCACCACCACTTCTGGTGGCTAGGATTTCTGGGAGTTGAAGTCCTAGAACATCTGGAGGCCCAAGGTTGGGGACCACTGATATAGAGTACTCAGAAGCAGTTCCCCAGTTCCTTCTTCTGGGACTGCGTACCTTGCCCAAGACCACACAAGCTGGCTTTCTTCCTACAAAGTATAGTGGAGAATCGAACTCCCATCCCTGGTTCTGCAGTTCCAACTCACTGAGCTATGATTGGCTAAAATGGTTACATGTGTTTGCTGACTGGGGAAGGCAAGAAACAGGTGAAGTCAGCTCTGAACTCAGCTGCCCCTTCAAACAGCCTCTGACAGGCATTTTTGCCAATGCTTGCCTTCCCCACTTGGGGAAAATCTGTAGCAAGTAAAGTATGCTGGACGAATGGGTGAAAGTACACGAGGGTACCTGTGCACATCTGAAAGTGCATGGTGATAGGGAACAGGCATGTCAGGAGCCATGTTTCCAATAGTGAAGGTGGTGTTGCCCATTGGAGGCTATGGCCCTCTCCCCTGCTGGCATGCAGGCTCCAACAGATGGCCTTGAGCTGAATTAGGTTTTCCCACTGCTGTGCTAAGCAAGCCACACAATGTTTACTTATGAATAAGCTCAAATGGACTTTCCCTATCTCTACAGTAGGAAGCAAAGAAATGCATGTGACCATGCCTTTAGAGTATTAAAAATAACACATATCTCTTCAATTAAAAAACAACTCAATTTAATAGAAGATTTTCAGGGATTATGAGAACCTCCAGAGATCTTTAATTGGGGAGGTGCTTAGGAAATGCAGAGGGTTCCGGCAGCTGATTCTTTCCCTCCCCCTCAAGGGATTTCCTGCAGCTCAATGGATAAAACAGCATGCTCTGAACAGTCATGCTGCTTTTGCAACACGACCCTCACCAGGAAGATAACGGATACACCAGGAGGGAGGAGTGTTTTTAGCAGCACATGTTTGAGTCCTTGTATCAACGCATCTGAGGAGAAGGGCAGGGAACATTTTGGATAGCTGAGCATTATCTCCAAAAAGAGCAGGAAGGAGATGACATCTGAAAATGGAACACAGATTTAACAGCAGCTGAGAGAGGTCCGTGTGTGACAGTTTACAACCTTTTAACAACATCTGGGGCACAACAAGCAACTGGGACTCCTTGCCTAGAGTTACTCAGGTCAGTGGGGCAGTGACTGCTGGAAAAGGCCATCTAGCCATCTGAGCTCTTGAACAATCTCCAGCCTCTTGGTTTCTAAAGGAGAAAATGTGGCTGCCTGTTTGTTTTATTGTGAGCTGTAATCTTGTTCTTGTTTTGGGTTACAACTCCTTTCGGAAGAGCATAGAGACGCTAGGCAAGAAACAATATCAAGTCCAGCATGGATTGTGTAGCTATACTTTCCTTTTGCCTGAGATGGACAATTGCCGATCTTCTTCCACCTCCTATGTTTCTAATGCAGTGCAAAGGGATGCTCCTTTAGATTATGATGATTCCATACAAAGGCTCCAGCTTCTTGAAAACATCCTGGAAAACAACACTCAGTGGCTAATGAAGGTAAAAACAAATAAGCTAGTATTGTTTCTGCCCTTCCTCTGGGGTCAGGCATTACAACACAATATTTAAATTAGTTGTTGTTTTTCTTGTTCTTTGCTAGTTTGCATTTCAGGGCAATTTATTTAGATATCCTTTTCTTTTTCTTTAAATCCCTGACAATAGGTAGTAGAGCTGTTTAAAGCCACGTGAAAAATCCAATGTGAGGAAGTTTGATTCCTGAACGGGAGAAGTCAGATTTCAAAAAGCTGTATTCTGTTTTTAAAAGAAAGCTCTTATAGTGGCCACGTGCACAGAAACTACTTTATTGCTATCCGTATATTTCTGGAATATTATTTGTATGCGCGCTTGTGTCTGTGTGCATGTGCACATGAGCATCTGTGAGTTATTCATGTCTGGTATCATGTTTCCAGACACATAAACTCTACAGGAATTTACTTCCAGTTAAATTTGTTTGCAAGTTAGGTTTCCTGCTTCACACGCTAGAAGCTGGCGGGAACACCAAATATACCTCGCAATACCCAGTGCAGTGAAAGGAATCATCATTCTGTGCACAGACCAGTTGTGCTTACCACCGTGTGGACCTGTCTGTGATTCAGAAGTAAATGATGTACTTATCTGACAAATTACAGACTTTTCCGGCATCTATAAGTAAATGCCTGAAAAAGCAATCTTGTCTGAATGGGGCTTCAGAAACAGTCCTTTGCAATAAAGATATATATTAACGTATATGTGAATCCCATTTTAATTATTTTCTGTGAACGACTTAGTTCTTTGAATCTAGGGAGAAGGTGGTAGAGTCTGAGTGTGATATAGGTGGATGAATATTCACCCCTTCTTTTGGGAACAGTATCACTTGTGTGAAAAATGACAATGCTTTTTCAAAGGCTCTGTGCAATTTTTATGCTACTAAGCTTTCAAAGGTTGAATATTTATTTATTTATTTATTTATTTAACTTATATATGGATAATAGCAAGATTAGTTATACACAGATAAACAAACCTGTTACATAGAACATGCTTAAAAAACTAAGGCTAATTTCTACATTGCGTAACAGTTTATTTCTATTACCATCTCAGTCTTACACAGTATATTCCAAGTGACATTAGGTTTGCTTCTAGGTACATGTGAACAGGGTATCACTCTATATAATCCACCAGGCAAAACTGAATGGAAAATGCAGTTCAAGAGCTTACTATCCTTGCACAGTCATATGATAAAACATTTTGTATTCTAAGGAATACAGGAAGGAAGACATCCCTGAGAAGCTAAGCAGGTCTATATTGTCCCATTTAGTTCAGTGTGATTAATTCCCTAGTAAATTTGGTAAGGACTGCAACTGTAGAGGTTTATATTTAATATGTCTGTATATTGATTCTGGGGGAAATGGCAAATATGCCAAATAGGCACAATACACAATACTTTACGTCTTCATAGAAATGGGAAAATCTAACTTTAAATGCATAACCCATTGTGGTTTAGTGGATGAAGTGTCAGACTTGGACTCATGAGATCTAGGCTCAAATCCCCACTTGACTATGGAAACTCATGTGGGTTGGCATGTCTGTATATTGATTCTGGGGGAAATGGCAAATATGCCAAATAGGCACAATACACAATACTTTACGTCTCCATAGAAACGGGAGAATCTAACTTTAAATGCATAACCCATTGTGGTTTAGTGGATGAAGTGTCAGACTTGGACTCATGAGATCTAGGCTCAAATCCCCACTTGGCTATGGAAACTCATGTGGGTTGGCGGTGGCAGCAAAGGCAAACCATTCCTTGGAACCATTCCTTGGAATGTTTCACGTACCTTGAAAACTCTGTTCCGGTTGCCATAAGTCAGAAGTGAATTGACAGCCCATTGCCATTATATAGCAATCAATAAAGGTCTGTTTCAACTTCTCAACCAACCATCTACTATAAACAGATTTTTTAAAAAAACTAATAAATGTCTGCAGTTTCCATTTGGCTTTGCTCCTCTCAGTCTTGTGTACAGGAATAAATTTCTTTAGATCTTGTTAAATCAGCTGAGTATATACACCTGTAAAAGGTGTACTCGAGTCTAAATATGCTTCAATAATAGCACAAATAATCATAACAATTACTTGATGACTTCAAATATGCTGTATTCATGGTGTTTTAATAAGTATGTTGCTAACAGAAGAATCCTGTGTAGGTTTTAAAATTGTAAACTGCCTTGATCAACTACTGACTGAAAGACAATACAGAAATGTTTTAATGAAAGTAAGGTCTACTCAAAGTGCTGAATGAGACTATATAAATGTTTATAGGATCTGACATGTTTAGTGTAGACCAATGCAAGTTTACATTGTTTTTACATTTAGCTGAGTAATAGTGCTGATATACAAAGGGGAAAAAGCCCTGGTTATATAGTTTGTCTTCTGCAACTATTGAATTATTTTCTTATATAACTAGATCTAAAGTATTTTCTTGTATAACTACAGAATACTAGATCATTTTCAAGAGGGCTGAAATGCACTTCTTAAGCGATAATCTATAATACGAGTTATGATATAAGTTACTGTCTATATACAGTATAAATGCAAAAATGGGCAATAGACCACTAAAAACCCCCATCATACAACCCACAAGTTTTCATGGATATATATAAACTGCACCACTTGTTTTCTATTCTTCTTACCTACAGATTTTTTTTTTGGGGGGGGGATTGTTAGTGGAAGATTTAACAAAGTCATTAAGAAAGGGACTGATATTGGGGGGAGGGTGCAATACCTTTCAGTTTTTACTATTCTATACTGTATTACATTATTTCAGATCTCAAAATCATTTTATTAACTATGCTTTATTAACTTAGTTTTTAAAAAATCAGATGACATGATTTTGTGTTTAGGTTGACATTTCTTTCAAATCTGGCACTTCTGCTGTTGCAGTCTCATTCTTCTCACTCAATTTTTGTTAAAAACTTATTTTTAGGATACATGGTCAGTGAGATCAATATGGAGAAAAATCTTTAGTGATTAACTCAGCATGCACTTTTAAAAATGTTTTATTAAATTAACAATGGAATAAATAATAGTCTTCTGCCTCTAGACACCACTTTATAAAGCAATAATAGGTCAGTTTATTCATTAAAAATTAAAATCTCAAAGAACTAGTTTGAAATATCTAACATTTAGAGTCCTCCTCCATTCACCTGTAGTAGCCTTAGTATACCATAAATAAGGATATCAATTTCATGCCAGGGAAGCAAACACTTCTGTTTGAAGTGTGTGTGAAATAATACTGTCAACACCAAATTCTTTCTAGAACCAGTTATTCATAAAAGCTTGGCTCATAGTGTATTCTGCATCCTCAAAGAGTATTCACTTCCTATCTTTAATCAATCATCAAAAGGAAATGTTATGTTTCCGAATGGACACCTTGCTGTCTGACTGGACAACTGTGGAAACCACTATGCTTGCTTCTCCATCAAAATAGGAAGTCAATGGTCCATGCCGATACATTCTGGAAGCTAACAGAAAATCAAGGCCGGTGTTACGTAAGTGAGCAGCCATTCTCAACCTTTTTTTTTTTTTGACACGGTCATAAACACAATATGAAAGAAATATAGGATTGTGTAAGTTGCATAACGAACCTTATCAGGTGGTGTGTAAGAATTGTTTCCAGTCCCCCCTTCAAATGTGTCAAGGCCCTTATTGAGAATGGCCTAGAAGACTAGTCAGTACTGGCTGCCCTTACAACTAAAGTGTGATTCCTATTATTAATACTCCTCTCCTAGTAGTTTTCAACCCAGTTTTCTACATATAACAGCAAGAACAATAACAACATACCAGTGTATCTGAAGTCTGGGTAGAACTGATTACATATCTCCCCTTTAAGGAACATGGTGTTACTCTAGTGTTTTCTAGTAAATCATACTTCAAGAGAAATATGTACTTATTTGTATCATAGTTTTCCTTTCAAGTTTGCACCAATTCTGGAATTTTCCATCCTCATGTTAGTTTCTCCAGTTTTGCAAAAAGAAAAGAAAAAGACAAGAATTTGCTGCAGGCTAATCATAAACATCCCTGTTTAACAGTTGTGTTTGTCAAAGAGCTGAGAGACAATTTTGTTTCCAAGCATAGTCAGAAACTAAGGTTCAGATATCTTAATACACAGTTGTTGTATCTGATTCACAATTACTTCCCTGTAAAACAAAATATTCCACATTAGAATGGGCAGCATGGACAACTGTGTAGTGTCTTTGTTACAACAAATACGTGGAGAAAAAAAGTTACCTGCCCTAGAATCATCAAGCAGCCAAACACTACATCACATGTTAAGAATGAGCGGACGACAATGTATTCATTTCTTTTGAAAGTGTTGTCTATTGTAATAGGAAATTAAAGATCAACTATGAAATCCCTGTAAATACTGCAAACCTATTTGAAAATATTGCTTTGTACACACATTCTTTGTACAGTATACACATTCCTATAAACTTTGAATCACTGTGCAAACAGAGAATTTTTTTTGACAAAACTGTCCTCACCAACTATGTCCCAGCATCCCCAAATCATGCACTGACTTATGTGAAAGGACTGTACACTGAGTTGGTTGGCTCATCCACATGACTTCTGGGTCAACACAAATGTATGCACTATCCTCAAAGGTACATTGCAAAGTGTGCTGGCCAGATCAATATTGTTTTTGATACAGCGTTATGAAACAGCAAGGCATCTATGCCCAGGCAACGTAAATATCCATAGTATGTGTGGTGTGTTGCACTATATGTGCAATCATTACTCTATGGCTACTTGGAAGTCCTAATGTTCTGCTATTGTGATGACTTTGTGTGTGCTTAAATCCTTGCTCCCATATGAGCAAATAGCCAGCTGGAAGCTATACCATGCTGTTTTATTAGGAGAGCAGTAGAAAGCAGTAATTTATCTAACTGGTTAGACAGCAGAGAAAAGATGGCTGGGGGATTCTGAGAATTGTGCTCTAAAAAGTAACAGCTGGATGCTCTGCTCAG